CTTGTTTCAATTAAATGCTTGTTTATGTGTAATCGAACTCCGTGTCTGCTCTATGAGTGCGTCGGTCAGGCCCACACATCACCACACGTGCAACCCCGCACGGGTCGACCAACCCGCAAATAAATTTGAAATGCACCACTTCGAGGCCTTTCAGGCGTCGCAGGCCGAAGCGTAAAGTGGAAGCCTGCGAGTCTGCCGCACGTCGATGTTGGATCGGTGGGGCCTCACCCGAAGTGTGTGACAATCATCAATGCCCATCAAAGAGAAAACCACCAATCTCTCAACATGCGAAAATTGTTAATGCGTGCTTCTACTGGCGTATACACAAGAGTGTTGATCTTGTAGAAATAAAGAAATTCTCATATTCCATAGTTCAAGAAAAAGATATTTACGGCATAAATCATTTTTGACCTTTCAACCTATATTATTCCCGTGATATTGCGATTGCTTATGCGAATTGAAATTTAGCATAGCAACATCTGAAACACGGGAACACAGGATGCGAGGATGGTAAGCGGGCATCGAAGGCTCAACTTTCCTCGAGTTCGAATGCCAACATCCTCTGCACTTTCACTCCGAATCATGGCCCGTACCTGAAGGCAGAGATAAGTGACGAAGGCGAAGAGTCCGCATGAGTCGTCAGAAAAGCCGTATCTGTCTAAAGGGAAGAGTGCGGTTGTGAGCTGAGCGTGCAAAGAGGCAGGACCTTCCGCACATGTATAAGGTTCTTCGTTTGCGGTGGTGTCACGTGCGCTTCGGTGCCGGCGCCAGGAACCCTTGAGTCCCGCTCTCATATCGGCTGCGACGCGAAGCTTCTGCTGCCTAGCGGACACCCAATATGACTCGTAATCTGGCGTCTGTCTGTGAACCCGCCCACGCGGACGCCACCGAGTCCCGATTCTGTCAGGTCAATGTTTCTCCTCCACTCGAGCATTTTTTTTTTCAACGTGCACACTCTTGAAAGCAGCTGGCTTTTGCACTCGGAAACCGAAGTCGCAAAGGCTTGTTTGACAACAAACGGGTGCTAGCTTGCTAATCTTTCATTTGCTCGCTATCGTCCACAGACGCGACGGGCAGCTTGTGCTAGTCAATCTGCCCGTGAAGTATTATGGCTAAAGTCAAGAAAGGTTCTCCTCCGCGATAATAACCTGGCGCACAAAAAAAAAAAAGGATGCGAGAGGTGGCATGGTATATAGAGGGAAAAGGAAGAGAGTGCATCTTAAAGGAACAAACAAACAAACAGACAAACAAACAAGCGAACCAACAAACAAAATGATTAGTTACACTTGGGATGAGATTGACGATATCCCTCCCATACACACGCACGCACGAAAGCACACACAATCACGCACGAATACTTACGCACAGAGACGCAAACACGCGCGCTTCTCTACACTACATTGCACTGCACTGCACTAGCGAGCGGAAATAGGATAGGCACAGATAAAAGATGAAAGCGCGGAAAATGAGACAGCATTAATTCCAAGACATATATCTGACACGTATGATTTGGCGGTGCTCCGCGCTACGCAGCGACAAAGAAAACACTGAAGAACGGTGGGAAGCAGCTCTACGCAGTCCAACATTGGAAGGACAATTGTGGGCAGTCCAACAGGCCCGTGGAGTGGCTGTAAAGCTAAGTCTTTCAGTCCCAACACGGTAGCGGCCTGCTTCGGGCTAGGACACTAGCGCGATCTATTGGACCTTAATAAAGTTCTTTCATCCATCCATCCAGGGCCAGCCCATCGAAAGAACCGCATGCTATCACGTAACCGGGCAACATGTATACCGATGAACTGAAATTCACGTTACTGTCGCTCAGGTCTCTTTATAAAAAAAAAAAAAACTAAAGCACCCTTAACCTTCACCTTTAACCCACGTATTCACAAACGCTGCTCAACTCGACTTCCACCCTTCACTTGGCAGAGTTGAGCACTGCGCCACCGCTCGGCGGAAAATGACGCTGCGCTACTCAACAATCGCAGCACATTTTTGCTGAACCGCCGTGCCTAGAGATGGCGCTCCCATCGGCTTTCTCAAGTGAAGGTGAAGCGTTGAGTGAAGGGACGTTCTAGAATACGGGGGTAAGAGTTGAACGTGATCGTGACATCCTGTCCCTATATATAGTGCGTACTTCGAACGCTTAGTGAATGAAATCTTTTCGAACTTGCTGTGCACCAACTACGTGGCTTCAAGGGGCGCAGTAACGTGTGGGCCTTTTTTAGTGGGTGCCTGGCTCTAAACAATGAAGGCCTTGTGCGAATCACATGTTCTTTCGTCCAATGGCAGTGTACGCTTGTATACCTGCATTATTACGGCATTATTCCATGTTGCATTGTGAATCACGTATACAGGACGCGTATGTTTGTGAAGCATGGCGGTTGCTTTCACTGCATTTCCAAGCAGAGGAAGTTGTTTTCACTGCATTCTCCTGTAGACGCCTGACTCTGTGGTAAAACACCCTCATGCAACGCAAACAACCCTGGTTCCTTTCCCACTCACAGACGGAATTTTTCATTATTTATTTTAATTGAATCAATCTCCATTTCGCGGCCACGCACTAGATGATTTTTTTCTCACAACCAACTACGCCGACACTAGAATTTCTATGAAACAAGCTTTTTAACGCTGTCGCATGGAAATATTTGTAGCCATGCCTTGTTTATCCTCCGATAATATGGGTTATCAGCCTGGTACTTTAAAATTATTTGCTCTAATAATTGTACGCGATGAACTCGAGCTAGCACCAGCGAACATTTCGGCGCATGAGCAGTAAATTGCGAAGGGATCAATATGTGGCACCTTACTGAGATGTAAATTTATCGTTTGTGACTCTTACGTAAGCCACGCAAAAAGCCGTGCCTTGGATAAAAACAATTATAGTTTCTAAAGAAGGGTATTTAACAACTACAAGGTTAACCCGGCGAGATGTCTCGGGGGCGTTCACGCAGCAATGAGTGCATGCTACAACATTACTATTTTCGACAAATCAGCATTCACTATTAAAGTGACCCGCTACAAGCTTGTAGCATTTACCGCACAGTTGAGAAAGCGAGGAACCTGAACGGGGCGTACAGCCGTATAGTTTCGAAATCCACCACTGCAAGTCACTCATGCTATGAATACTCTCTCTTCTCTTTTTCTCGTGCAGTTTGTGATGATCACACGTAGTGTGATCAATTAACGAAACATCATGCACGGCGGAAGTGTTTTCACAGAGTTCCTGCACTACGCTTATGTATAGGGTTACGAAGTTCTGCTAGCTTCGTTAGTAGAACTTCACTATTTTCTTCAGTAACATTGCACAGCATTGTATTTCAACGCTTACATTTTCTCTCCTGAGTCATGACAACATTAATCAGGTAATACAACATTAATGAGGCAATCAGCCTATGATCTTTAATAACGCCTTTCGTGATGACTTTTGGGCTATAGGTGGTGTCAAAGTCTCCCAACTTGACTAACTCAGTAATGGCAAGCACCGGATGATAAAGCAAGCTTAACTTATATACGCGTAGTTATAAATCCTTAAATTATGTTAGGGCTATAAAATATGTCGAACATTTTGGTAAGTCTGAAATTGTTGCTAACCTCCATGCGACCGATGTAAAGCGCTGCGCATGTCTTGGTTTGTTGACTGATTTACTGACCGATTTGTTGATGGTATACAGACTTGGCAACCTTCATCCCCTTGTCACGACATTTGACTGAAATATGAAAAGAGAGAAAAACAAAGGAAAGGCAGAGTGGTTAACCATGTTGAACCCGGTTTGCTACACTACGCGGAGGAAGGGGTAGGAAAAGAATAGGGAAGGAAAGAGAGGCAAAATAATACGCTAGCACGCATAGCATCGATATGTACTACACATGCCCAGAAAGTCATAAAACTGTGAACTGTCACCGAGTACGTACGGGTTGACTTCGACACAAGATTCGACTAAGAATCTCCGCGACGATGACCTACGTGTCATCGCTGTGTTGAGGTCGTTGATGAGCACAATGCGCGCCCTCCTCACTGGACTGACAACACCATCAGCCCGAAGCGCACTTGAAGTTCTGGATACATTGGAGCCAGTCCTTGAAAGCCGTCTTTAACATCATGGATTGCAGTGTATTTCATCGGAAAAAGGCAAACACAGAATAGTGATCTAAAGAAAAAGACACGCACACGCAAAACTTTTTCCTCCATATATAATAGCTATTTCGTACTGATATTGTGGTTTAGCAGTACAGTTATCATAACCGACAAGCATCAGCTGATAGCTAATGTCTCTTTCCATTTGCTCGTTGTTCCTAATTATGCGAAGGAAATACGTTTCTTTATTTCATAGAGAACTTGTCTGAAAAGTTGACCCATGTACTTAAGAAAGCATTGTGCAATAATTACGGTTTCTACACAGAGAAATCTACAACGCCTGTCATTCTTCTCTAGATCGACACGTGTTATTCAACTGTCTCAGGGAATACCAAGCTTTTACAGCGCGCCTCTATCATTAACGCCCTCCAATGACCTAAGCCGTCGCTTATCTCTGCGCGACCAGGGACGTCAGCGTGGCGTCACAGTGGGAAATAACCTCAAAAGCAAGCTCCTCTCAGTGCCTATGCGAAGTGTTGAACGAATTAGTTTCTTACAAACTAGACACTTCCATTGATCACGAGCATATCAAAATGTCACTCGCTTTCTTAAGACAGGCAGGGTGTCTTTGTTTGGGCAAAACAAACATCTATAACTTTTCTGCACCCGAAATCACGTGCGTGAGCGCGGGAAAAGTCACGTGCCTGGGAGAAGGACCGGGTGCAATTCACAATACAGACACATCTACAATGTAAACGCGCGGCGATCTCGGGAGGAGATAACCTGCACTATCCGACGCAGACTGCCGCCAGCCGATAGCGAGCCGCAATCAGCAGACAACTGTAAGGCTGCGCGCAATTCCGGCCACAAAAGAAGGCGATGAGGGGAGGGGAGAGCAAACGCAAAGGCCGGGTACTGACCGAGGCGGCGCGACGGCGGCGACCAGCGATAGACGCCTCCTCCTTACTCTCTATGTGCGTCACGAACACACGACCTCAGCGGCGCACACTCCGGCGCGCTACAAAAGGCGGCCCCCCTGGACTTTTCTCGTTACAAAGGTTCGCACACAGCTCCGAGAGCTCTGTCAGCCCTGCCTTCTGCAAGCCATGGCTTTCATGATCCCGGCCGTCCGCAACGAATACGACATCTACCTGAGCCGGAGTCCGCGGAACTCCGGCTCTCCGCCAACGCAGGAATGGCAGACCAGTAGCGTCGAGGAATACCTGAGGAGCCTGCGTGGATCCGGGTGCCAAAACAACAACAACAACAACGTGTTCGTGAAGAACAACAACCTCTCTCCTATCCGGGACCGTTCATCCTGTTCTACGTCACCCCAGCGCAAGACAAGCAGAGACCTCTACGCAATGCACGGAAACGTCGACGCTCTGCTCATCCAGAAACTGAAGAAGTGCGACCCGTCTTAGTGACGGCGTCGGCACCCTTCACTGCTTCATTCGCCAAGTTTCAGAACGTGCCGAAGTAACCCGGGCGCCGAGGATGCTCATCGAGCAACGATGCCGGTGATCCTTCAGGATATGAGGACGCCTTGCAACAAGCAAGGCCTCGATGACGCAATGAAGAAGCGGGAGCTCACGCACGGGACGTTCCTCAGCAGTGACCAGCAGCCCCTGGGAAGAAGATCACAGAGCAAGTACCCTCTACCAACTGACTTGCCGTGCAAATATTAAGCGCCCTTCTCACGAGTCGTCTCCGCAAGACATTTTGATTTGTAAGCGTTAGTGCCTGAACGACGAACACTCGAATAAAACAGCCGTTATAACAGTTATCATGGTGTTCTTCTTTTTGAAATCCCTATCTCGAAGGGTCACTTCCTAAGCATACTTCATGAACTTATTTACAACGCAACAGCAGAAAAACACAGACAGGGAAGGAGCAAAAGAGAAAGAAAAGACTGCGCTCTTTTGCTCCTTCCCTGTCTGTGTTTTTCTGGTGTTGCGCTATAAATAAGTTTACGATGGATCCTAACCAAATGGTCCAACTTACCGTCTTACTCCTATGCACACTACAGTATGGAAGAAAACAACCGGAAATCTGTGCAACATAAAGCTCCAGAAGCAATTCTGTGAAGCGATGTTGACTTCAGAATTTGATTTTGAATGCCAAATAAAGCGTCGTCTTCTACATAAACCGTCTCCTCATTTGTACAGACCATCTATTCAAACACTAAAATGGTCTTTCCTTGAGCACAAACAATATGTATTTTCATTTTCCTCCACCACGCAAGATCCCATGTACCGTAAAGTGACACACACCAATTCATTGCCAATACGTAAGAACAACATGACCCACACGATGAAAACACCGAAGAGACAAAAAACGCAAATATTCACGTGAAAATTCGGCTTGTGACTCAACCCCAGGTTTTTGCATTGAAAGAAACCGTAATAGAAATTGGACATACTGTGTTCTGTCACACAATTGCTAGTTGTTAATTCATCGCGCATGAGGTTTTTAGTTTCACGTGCACTAGCACGTCAATACTCTTTTGGAATATTGAATCAAACTGCGTATTTTTTGTGCAATACCAACGCGTCGTGCTTTTAAAGTAACGTATAGCAGGCATATCTTGCGAGCAGCCTTACGAAATGAAAATAAAGAGAAATGTGCTGGCCGCAAAAGAAATAAATAAAACTGAAACTGTATTCCTATCAAGACTACACCTTGGAGGACATTGCGATCAACGATTATTCGTCACGTTTTTTTGGCAACTGCAGCTGAAGCCCGTATGTCAAAGAAACTATCAGAGCCTGTGAAGCTGCGAGTACTAAACGAAACATATCAGCTTCTGAAATGTTGTTTTCTTTTTCTCTAAGAATGACGAGTTATTTTATATTTGAGAAGTCTTTAGCGTTGAGTTTATCCGGGCGAATTCACCGTATGGCATGACTTCGCTCATTCTCTTCGTATTCTCGTCTTTTCTTTTTTTCTTTTTTTTTGTCCCTGCAGATTTAATCTCTACATTGTACTCTGTTCTCACCTTCCACTTCATCATTCACAGTTTTGCTTGAGCTATAATTCCCGACTAAGAACCACGGAGCCTATCGTTCTAGGGACGAGGAGCACTATAGAATTAGTTCAATCTACGGTTTTACGTACTTTCTCCATCACTATTCTGTATGGATGTGGACATAGTGATCTCAGTCATGTGCTTTATATTTTGTATTTAAGGCATTTTCATATGGTACATACGAAGTCACTTAATCCATTGTTATGTTTTTATGATATAGCACACAATTGTACATAACACCGTAAACGAAATAATTGAAGCACAACGAGCATCACAATGGTGGAGACTATCCTGCCCTGGACAAGGACATGACGTCTTGAAGCTCCTAAACTTAAAACCACTAACTGGACCCACACTGAGGCTCAATATACTGCACGAAATCAGAGCTAGGATAAAAATCCTACCAACGTATGCCAATATTTTCCAGTCGTGCGAGCTGCTCCATCTTGCGGGTTTCTCAAAAACTAATTTCTCACAATGCTGTTTGGTCTAGTGGCGCGAAGTCCACGTAAGGAGCTTTCAGGGTTTTGCAGGAAATTGTTGATAAATGTTTTTCGAGCGTTGCTTTCCACTGCATTCCTACATTTACGCCTCAATTGACAGCGCTGAAAAAGGTTCTGGTCGTATCGACAGCTCGCAAAAAACAGAAATAGCTCAAACAAGTGAACGCACCGCGTTCGAAAACTCACCCACTTCGCGCTCTCTCGTTAGCTCCGCCACGTGGGGAGCCGAACGTCCCGAGCTACTACGAGAGATGGCGGTGCGACATCAATGCACAGCACGACTGTCGGAGGTAGCGAAGGTTCTCGAGCGCTCATAGAATTTCTACCTCAAGTTTGGTATCTGCAAAGCAGTGTTGGTGCTGGTGCAGCCAAAGAGCCTAAGAGAGGAAGGGCGTGCGGGGACTTAATCATTCCCCCTGTCTTAAAGTGTTAACAAATTGTATGTATAAATCACCGGGTATAAGCTCGCCTTTCAAGCATGCCTTTGATCGGTTGTAAGTGCCACCCTGACCCGTCGCTTACCTTCTCTTTGCTTCTTGTTTGCCGCTCCAGTTCATCTACAAGCAAGCCCGGCCTATCGCTTTGGTGTACGTATACACACGCACATGTGTGCCCAGTATTATCCGGAAGATAGGGCCAAGTGGCCTAGTGCAAATGAAAAAACAGCTCCATTAAAAGTATCATTGTAAATAATGATTTGATTGATTGATTGGTTGATTCATTGCTTGACTACCTGATTTACTTATTGATCAACATCTACGCTGACACGTTCCCGATAGTTAAAACTTAAAACGGAAATTGCAAGCTATGTCTCGCTGTACACATCTGCCAGAGTCAGTTAATGAATTTCATTCGTACGCTTAGTTTAAAGCTGCTTTTGTACGCTTCTGCGCACAGCTGCCAGAGCTGTGTGTGCGCAGGGAGAGAGCGCGGGCAGTTGCACGTAACCGTTATTAACCTCTACTGCGTTCAGAAAAGCGCGTCAGAAAGCTATGAAGTACGCCCTTTTTTACGCGAAGCGTCCCGCATTGCGTAGAAACGTGTATTTGTAATGTTGTCAACGCGCCAATCGGCTGCGAAGAGCAGGCAGACCAGGAGGTGCACAGACTAGTCATCTTCATCACAGCCGCTGATGATTAAGCTATGTAGTCGTCGAAATAAAAACGCTTTGAGGTTACGTTAAATACAGCTGAATGACATAATGGACCGGACACAATAACTCTAAAAACAATGGGCAGCGAACTCGCATCCGCTAGCGGGCCTTATTCCGAAGTTTAGAGGCACATGGGCTGGGGCTGGAGAGAGATAATAAGATGGCAGGAAGTGCTGCAAAACTGTCGCAGCAGACAGTTTCTTACATGTCGTGATCAAATACATAGTGACCACGTGGAGTGCCTCACGAAAAAAAAAAAAAAAAGCTTGAGGCGGGTCACGTCTGTGTAGCTCATGAATATACTTTAGAAAATTTCACACACACGCACGCATGCACGCACGCACACACACAAACACACACACACACGCACGCACGCACACACACACAAACACACACACACAAACACACACACACAAACACACACACGCACACACGCACACACACCTATAAGATCGAGCGGGTGAATGAAAAACTAACTTGTTTTAACGTTATGGCCTGACTTCAGCCGAACTCCGACCGAACCGATAGAATAAATAAATTAGGCTGTCACATGACTGCCTAACGGCGAAAAAGCCGTTAGGGAGTCTTGTGGGGACCGGGCAACGCGTGCAAGAAGTCCGGGGGTCGCGTGTTTGAGTTAAGACACCTGATATACAAGAACGTGCATGCGTTGGACCGGCGCTCTTTGAAGAGTGACAAACAGCTCCGCCGCCCCTGCATGCGTCAGCTGCAAGTACAAAAGAGCGGCATGCACGTAGCATGGAAAGTTTCCTTGCCGCAGCGTAATAGAGGGCGGCGTTTACAGGAGGAACGCGAAAATGAACCAGCAAACATATTCCGGTGAACATGCTGTGGGATACGTTTACAAGAATAGTCGCGTAATACCAGGGAGAGAGGACCTAAAGGTCGAGTGTTCCGCAAAATAGCAACACTTCAAACATTGCCTTATCGACGTACGGTACTGCTGCGAGTGGTAGAAACTGAGGGGAAACACGCGGTTTTCTGCAATCTCTGCGGCGCCTCCTTTGGAAGCTTGTCTCAGCAGGCGCCGAACACACGTGATGCAGGCACAAAGCCGAAAAAACAACAAGAGAACAGAAAATAGTGGTCTTCAAAAACTGCGCGATTACCTTTCTGTGTGCACTTTCATTTGCGTAGGCTAACGCATAAACCGTTTTGACCACTTTGTTTTCAAAAACTGAGACGGACAGACCAAATGCTACACGATGAATACCATACTAACTTACCAACTTCAGCCAACTTCAGCCATTACTGTCTCTATGAATTGCCAACAAACCTTTTTTATCCGTGCCCGTATTCACACATGTTGTTCCCACTTATTCAGGCCGATCTCACAGCAGTCGATGTTGTATTTCACTTCCCCCTTTTTTACACATGATTAGGTTTCTAAGCATATACATTATAATACTTACGAAGATATCGATTGAATAAAAGCTGACCATTCCAAGCGGCATAGTACAAAAAAAAAACTGATTATCTGAATTTCCGAACCACCTGCTATGAAAACAACTCCTCCATTTCCTTTTTTTTTTTTTGCTGTGAAATTCACCTTAAGCCAGGCTAGTACCGTCTCACAATTTCATTGATTCATTGCCGCCATCGCCATCTATTGGCTGCTTTATTGTTGGAATGCAGCAGGGTTGTTTTTTTTTGCGTTATGATAGCAATTTTGAATTTCATAACGATGTTGGATGCGGTGGTGAGCTGAGTGATGGTAGTTCACTTCTCGCAGAGTTTCCACAGAGTCTGGCACCGTTTCATGATCAAGTTGAACCCCCCTTTTTTTGTTAATAACGGTTAGGTGTTTAGACAAAGTAGCAACATTACGACTGTCAAAGGGCTAGGAAAGTGCGGTGAAAGACGTGACGTATTTGTGTACGCACAGTCAGTGGCGATCGATGGCGATCTCAACTGCGGCACGTTTTCGTACATTTAGAATAGTAGTGGTTTGGGCTAAGAAGAAGACAGCACTCGTGTTCTTCTTGTCCCTTTGTCGTCGTTCTGATCTCGCGCTATAACAACCGTTTTCCTACAGCGTTGAAACGACCTTTGGCCAGGTCCCTTTCGCACACTGCACAACA